AGAGGTCAAAACTTCTAGGTATACTCTCCTTAGGATTCATAAGCCTCTATGCAACTATGTGCAAAGTAAGACAGTGTAGACTTCCAAAGGATTTGTTGCTAGTGGCGTCCAACTGGGCAGCAAGTATTCTCTGTTTAGCAGGAAAAGAGATGTGCCCCAGTGGCTATCCCTGTGTTGGGGGGGGGAGGGAAGATCTTCCCCAACAACCAAATGCAGCCCAAAGCTCTGAGAGAGATATTGGACCACCACCCTGTATTTATAGAGGCTGAGGCACTACTCAGGCCATGATTGAGAAGATTTTTAGCCAGTTTATTATATATTTCCCAGTTTAACTGCTAAATGAAAGAGACTTACAGAGATCCTAGGCCCCTCAAATAAATCAAAGCAATTAAAAAAAAATCAATCAGTCCAATCCAGTTCAACCATTTACCAAACATTTAGTAAAGTCTTGCTATGTGCAATATGGCATTGCACATAGGTTAGGCAGTGAGGAAACAAAGGAAAAAAAAAACCCTACAGTACTCATCCAGTTCTCAAGGATCTTACATTCTACAAATTCAGGGAAGTCATGGGTTCCTTAAACACTTAGAGAAAGTTGTCTGTGAATTTATATGGTAGGTAAATTATTACTCTTTCTCATTCATCAACAAGTAGAATGCTCCTTAGATGCTCCTGTGTGGTTGTTCCCTTGGGCTAAGTAATGGCCATGGAAGGATCTTGATTTCATGCCATGTCACCATCAGTTGAAGGAACTGGGAGTATTTAGTACAGAGAAAAGAAGGCTAGGGCTGGGGAGGGGGAATTGATAGCATTTCAGATACTTGAAGACAAATATCATATAAAAGATGGATTCAATTTGTTCTGTTTGGCCTCAGATGAGAAGAACTAAGAGCAATGGGTAAAAGTGGCAAAGAGGCAAGTGAAGGCTTGATGTCCGAAAAATGTCTGCAAGGCTGGAACTGTCCAAAGTAGAGAAAAATGACTTCCCACTCGCTGGAGGTCTTCAGAGGATAGATGGCCACTTGTGGGATGCATTATAGGGGGGATTCTTTTGCAAGAAAAATTTGAACTGGATGGCCACTGAAGTCCTTTCCCAACTTTGAAATTCTGTGAAATCATCTTGGGGTCAGAGTAATAGCCCCAAAATGTCACTGTGTCACTTTTCCCCATGCCCCTTGGAAGCATATTCCCTAGCCAGACAAACAGGAACAGGGATTGTGTCTCAGGGAAGAGCTGATTCCTCTTGAGTTCAAAACCAGGAATGCCCACTGGAATGGATGGTCTCTGGTTAATGGGGGAAACTGACCTCGACTAGTAACTCACAAGTTGGGATGAAACCTCCTGGCCACTTCAATGAAATCCGGTCACCATGACCACCTCAATCTTGAACCTTCAGCACTCTTTTAAAGGGTTATAAATTCATACTTGGTAGAGATCAGAGTAGCTAGCCCAGAACTTCCAATCTACCTAGGACATTTCAGGCCTGTTTTCTATTACAAGCTATTTCATTACAGCCCTGAAATGTTACCAATTCCAGGTAATGAAATCTGGGAGAAAAACAAAAAAACACCAGTGAATACAACTCCATAAGCCGATAACAATGAGTTTCCTTTTAACAGTCTGAGGATATTGTCTCAGGTCTAACCAAAAGTATTCCTGGAAGGCTCAAATTATTTTTGCTGAATGCCAGATAATCTTCATTTCACATAAGTATGATGAGCATCATCAGAAAGCATTTATCCAGCCTTCACCAATAGCTGTGAACCCAGCCCTGACAGGTGATAATAAAAAAAAATATTCTCTTTCACTCTGAGACCCTGGGGGATTTTCCTGGGTCTTTCCTTATCTCTGACCCTTTCCCTGGGAGAAGTAATTTCTATTCAAAACTCATCCAGAGCTGAAACATTTAGATCCCTAGTCTTATCACCATGTAACAAAGTCCTTTCATTTGGCAACATGCAAAAAATAGTTCCTAACTTCCAGATGGGCAAAAATTAAAGGTGTTTTTCTTTTCACAAACATATTTTATTGGTGCCTTTGGTTGTTTTGTCAGAGTAATATCCATATATCACCTCCCACAACTGAAATCTCCATTGTAACAAAAAAAATCAGTTCATCAAAAGCAACTGACATACCTGGCAGCAGATGCAACATTCTTTCCTGTTAGCCCCATGCCTCTCTACCAAGACAAGGGAGTTATACTTTAGGATTTGTTATCCAAGATCAATATTAGTTTTTTAATTATTCAAACTTCACTTTCTTTTCAAGTGATTTTTTCATTTACATTGCGGTAGTTAATGTCAGTAATTACCATTTCTACAGCCTTGTGGAAAGAGTTTGCTTGTAAAATAGGGTCAACTTCATCGTGATTTTCTTTTAACCAGAGGGACCTGTGATTTCATCAGTGTAAGGCAGTCCCTGGAAGGGGATTCCTTCTGCTAATGTGGATCAGTGACTACTCTCTGGACCTCATAGTCTTCAACAGTTTCTGGGGACACTGAAATCTTAAGTAATTTTTTTTTTTCAGGATCACAAGACTAAGGATGCTGTGTAAGCAGGACCCAAGACTTCCTCTTTAGCCACTATACCACCCTACCTCTCATTTTGAGTATATACTAATTATCATGGCTGAGAAAGTCAGCAGCAGTTGCTATTTCTGCAGCTTACAGGACTCAATATCTCAATGCTCTTTTATGATTAGAGGCCAGGTAGCACAGTGGCTAGGGTACTGAGCTTGGATCAAGAAAATGTTCAAAACCTGCCTTTGACTTGTCCTAGCTGTGTGACCCTAGGCAAGTGCTTTCCCACTATATGCCTCAGACAATTCCCTCAGGCTTATCAACTGAGGCCTTAATGGGTTGCATCTAGTAGCGGAGAGGGGTTCCCAAGGTGCAGAATCAAAAGTTCTTTCATGTGTTTTATGATTACTTGCTAACCAAGAAAACAGAAGATTTTACATTAGAAACAGACTGGCATGAAAGTGTCTTGTCTTATGTAAACCAATTCATACTCAAACTAAGTTATGCTACATGACTCTCTCAAGGAGAAAATCTGATGTTTTTTAAGTCTTTGAGATACTGTGTTTTGACAAGGTAGTTCTTGAAGTTTCTCATCATCATTTAGGAATGATAATGGCAATAATTAACTTAATTTATTATCAGCCCAGAAATTCTTTGAGAATAGGGTCGATATGCCTGCTAACTTGGCAAGGAAACCATAATGAGGCCAAGCTGCCATTTTCCCTCCCTTCCCAGCATCAAAACTCTCAATACTTGTAGCCTTTTAATTCATCCAGACAATAGTCTTCTGGACTTTTCCATGACTCAAGGGGGGCCCCAAAGGGGTCTGGGATCTCCTGGAGCTGAATCTGATCCCATGCTAGAAGTTAAGCTCAGCTTCCCTCTTCTCCGCCCTACGGAAAACCCTCCAGGGAAATATCTAAAAGAAATCCTCAGCATGGCTTATGTCTAAGGTCTTCCTCAAAAATAGACAACAGTTCTCCTCCTCCTAGAAAAAGAACTCAATGGGTAAGAAGAACATGGGCAAAAAGTGGAGGAGAGTTGCTTATCTCCTTCACTGGAGAAATGACACAATTCAAAAGAACTCAGAGGCTCTGTCTCCCCCAGAAACTCTCTGATTGCACTCAGTCAGCCAGCCAACCAACCCTTTACTCTCTCCCTGCCACTGACCCAAAGTTTCAGAAGCCTCATCTGAGAAGGGGAGGGAGTATACAGCTCCATGGGAAGTGCCCCCATCCAGTAAATTAAGGCTTACCCTTTTCACTCCTGCTACACTAATATCACTGGATATTGCATGTAACAAAACACAGGCAGAAAATCTACAGTGGAGAACTTGGGTCTCTTTGTGCCTCCATAGCAAGAGAACAGCATGCTTTCCCTTTGCTTCAGGGTTTGGATCAGGGAGTTACTGGAAACATCATTTTAAAATTAGTCTCACCATGAAGACAGAATGGAACTAAAAATGTATATTTACCTACAAAGGAGGCGTTTTCTATAGTTTGGAAATGTGCTGATGCATGGTACCCGAACCTGAATTCAAAATACTCAATTACGCTTTATAATTCTAGAATTTCTGAAAGAAAATGAAGCTCAGGGGCCACCAAACCCTACCCAAACCCAACTAGGAATCCCCGCTATCATATCCCCAATAAGGGGTCTGCAAGCCTCAACTCAAAGACCCCCAGGGTAGCAAACTCACACTGTCTCCTGAGGCAGCTCATCCCACTGGTAGACAGGCTGAACAGAAGGGAAGGGGTTAGGGTTAGGGAAGTTTTCCTGATACCAAGGCAAATTTTGCCTCTCAGCAATGTCTGCCCATTGTTCCTAGCTTTGACCTCTGAGGCTAAGCACAGCAGATCTATTCCCTGTTCCACATAACACTCCTTCAAATACTTGAAGACAGTTATCATCCCCAGTCCATCCCACCATAAGTCTTCTCTTCTCCAGATTAAACATTCCCAGTTGCTTTTACTGATTCTTGTATAGCAGGGTATCCACTTCTCATACCATCCTTACTTCCCATTTCTAGATGCACTCTAGCTTGTCAGTGTCATTCCTAAAACATGGTGCCTGGAACATGAGATAGCATTATCAATGTACTATCATCAGGGCCTTTGTATCACTGTGTATCACCTGGGCATAATGGGAATATGAACACCTGGACACTAATGTTCTCATGATTTTCTTTCAATTTTCTTTCAATTAACAAGGATTTATTTTTACCCCTCTCACTAAATTTCCAATTTAAAAAACCTTTATAATAAGTATGCATAGTCAAGCAAAACATGTTTTCACATTGTCCGTATTAAACAATGTCTCTTTCTGAACTCAGAATCCATCATTTTCTTGTCAGGAACATGCTTCATCTTGGGTCCACCGGAATTATGCATAGTTATTGTGTTAATCAGAGTTCTCAGGTCTTTCACATTTGTTTGGCTTACATTATTGCTGTTGTTATATAAATTATTCTCTTGTTTCTAGATGTAGCCCAAGATTGCAAAAAGCAGAAAGGTGCAAAGGATGGAACGCTGTCCCTAGGATGAGGAGATTTGGGTTTGAATTCTGCCTCACAAGCTCACTTGCTGTTTGACCCTGAATAAAATCATTCAACCTCTCAGAACTTCACAGAATCTTAGAGTTGAATCTGTACCTGAATAATAATCTGCTCTTTAACCTACCCAATAAACGGACATCCAGTCTGAACATGAAGACCTCTAGTAAGGTTTCATATATATGATTTCATTTATGAATTATGAGGTTGTGTTTCCTTGTTGTATGCTTGAATGTGTATTGTTAATGGCTGTTAACCTAATAATAAAAATCTATTAAAAAATTCTAAATTTGTTGGTCATGGGATTAATGTCAGGCTGGAGGGAATTCTCAAGTGGTGCACTAGAGGGCCCTGCCTTGCTAAACATTGTCACAGATTTAGCAGTCGTTATGATTTTTATACTAGTTACTTAAGTAAGTTGCTGTGTAGACACACAGGATAAAAGTATCAGTGTACTAACTGAATTAAATTCATTTCTGTTAGAGAAACAGTTTCTGCTTATTCCCATAAGAGGCAACTAAATCATTTTTTAATAAAATTAACTACTCCAAGTTCTCACCTAAGTTGTCCTGTGGTATATCATAGTGGCAAGAAGGCGACTTTGTTCTCAAAGGCTCTTCTAGTAGAGTACAAATTCTGCTAAGCTGGAAAGGTGTCAAGGATGAGCCCAGTAAAAGACTGTAGGTCTGTGAAATGAAGACCAGTCTAGCTAAAAGAGATTATCAAAAGGTTGACCAGTAATGGATTGGGGCTGGGGGAGGGAGAGTGTGTGGACAGGGAACCAACTCTCAGACCATTTGCTCATGAGTTTCATAGAAGAGAGTTCTCACACTGATTGAATCCTGGATCTTTGAAATGGATGTGATGGATTATTGCTCCTACTCTGACCAGGGAGGACTTGATCATCTCACCTGGTGGTTTTAGTGTCATATCAACACAATGTATTTTAAAGCTCTACCCCCTAAAAAGAAGTTAAGGACTTGACCTACCTATCATAGAAAAGCCAAGTGTAACTGAATAATCATATCCATACCTTCTTTTAAAGGATCAGTTACTAAGCAATCAATCTGTCACTCATGAAAAAGCAGTGATAACAGAGTATATCCCATGCCTGGGATATTGGGCCCCTAAAATAGCAGCATAGATAACGATCAGAAAAGAAATGGCAGATAATAAACTAGGCTGCATAGAATCCATTTACAAAGTTGAAATCTGTCATAAACAGCTATTTCCCATTGGTTTCAATGGTGCTTTCAAGTGGAAGGCCTTGAAAAAGAAGATTATCGAAACCTTAGCACCTTCCCAGCACAGCTAGAGGATAGAGTACTACCATGAGACGCAGGAGACCTGGGCTTGATTTGTCACTTGTCTCTGGGCAGGGGCATATTCTGGATAAGTCACTAAATGTCTCTGTATATGAACTTAGACCAGTCAAGCAGAACGTAAGCTGCCCTAGCTACCTCTGAAGGTTGACTGTTGCACGGACAGTTGAGATTACATAGTAGATGAGAGAACATGTTTACAAAATAGATAGTATTCATCCTATGATATTAATGCCTATATTCCAATTCTGTGGTAAACATGGCAAGTGAAACTGATCAAACCGTCAAAAGTCAGCTATAGCGCATGGTCTCAGAATTAATTTTTTGTAAGTATAACCATTAGGGAAATAGCAAGGCCCAGTGGATAGATAGAGTGTGGCCTTAGAGTCAGGAAGACCTGGATTTGAATCCTGTCTCAGACATTTATCAGCTATATGACCCTAAGTCATTTAACCCCTCTGAGTTTCCATTTTCGCACTTATAAAATGGGAATAATAGTAACATTGATCTTGTAGAAATCTTATGAAGAATAAATAAGAGTATTGTACAAACATTAAATCTCTACATAAATGGGAGCTATTGTTATTCATGTTAAAAGAAAAATAGTTGCCAAAAATGTTCTAACAATGTTGTTGTATGGGCATGAAACATAAAACACAACAATGTCCAAAATAGTGAAAATGAACGTAACACAGAGGGCAATGGAGAAGTGCACGGTGGATGTGAGCTAGCTATCACAAAGGAGAAAGCCTCCAGTAGGCTCCGTGGGGAACCTCATTGGACATGGACATGAGGGTGCAGGTTGGGAAGACACGATGAATAGGCTCTTCTCTGCATTGTTGAAAGGAACATTCATCTCAATGCAATCACAGACCCATTAGGGTTCTTATTAATAATAATAATAATAATCTAGCTCCCATTTCTATAGTACTTTCAAGTATACAAGTACTCAGAATGAGAATGAAAGCATTTTTCTCCTGATTTTACATAGGAGGAAAATGAAAGTCCATCAAAATCTCAGGGGCGGGCATTGCAGCTGTATTTGTTACAGGGAAGCCATACCAGCTGCAGTCCATGGAGCTATACTCGAAGCCCTCAGGCTCATGGGACTTTCCCCACTTTCTAGTTATCTAGTCCAAAACCTTAAGAAAAATGCAACAGACACCAAAACGAAGATACACATATATTTGATAAGGTCAGGAAAGTGTCAAGGTTGAAAGATGTCCATGAAACAGATAAATTCTAAGTCTACCTGCAGCTGGTGGAGATTGATTGGCACAATATGAATTCTCCCAGGGAGAGACTAAAGACAGTAGTACAACTGAGCAGCAGGATTGCTGTGAGCTATGAATAGGAAGGGAACAGGTACATCTGGCCAGAAGCATCAGAGAGAAATGCCTGATGGGGCCAATGATGTATGCGTGTATGCTATTTATCAATAGAGGTCTTGGGGAAGTACAGGTGCAAGCTGAGTCAGATAATAAGAGTCTAGTAATTGTCTGCAACTCTTCCCCAATGCTAAAGGGACTACACTTCGCTGCTGAGGATGAGAAGCTCGTCTTTGCAAATCTGTAGGGTTCCCCCCTTCCTGATCCTAATTCCACAGAGGAGCTCAGAAAAGAAATTAAACATTGCTTCTCCTTACTAGAGCATTACACCTTGGTGAGGGTAAAGGGAGAATGGGGAATTATTAGATATTCTCTGCATCCAACATTATTTAATAAAATATTTCCTCCATGGTATCCTGGATCAAAACTTGTTCACTTCCTGTAGTGGGTAATAACAAAGCAGCTTTGGCTTTATTCAGTCACTTTTTAATATCATATAAGCCTCATGATCTGAATACTAGCCAAAATTGGACAGATTCCCTCTGGTGTGCATAGCAAGGAGTCACTCAGCTTATTGGTTCAAAGGCCCCACTCAGAACTCTGGGAAATTTGATCCATCAATACCACTACTAGGTCTGTATCCCAAAGAGATCATAAAAGAGGGAAAAGGACCCACATGTACAAAATATTTATAGCAGCTCTTTTTGTGGTGGCAAAGAATTGGAGATTGAGGGGATGCCCATCAGTTGGGGAATGGCTGAACAAATTGTGGTATATGAATGTAATGGAATACTATTATTCTGTAAGAAATGATGAGCAGGTGAATTTCAGCAAAATCTGAAAAGACTTACATGAACTGATGCTGAGGGAAGTGAGCAGAACCAGGAGAACATTGTACATAGCAACAGCAGCATTGTGCAATGATCAACTATGACAGACTTAGCTGTTCTCAGCAAAAGAATGATCCAAGACAATTCCAAAAGACTCATGATGGAAAATGCCACCCACATCCAGAGAAAGAATTATGGAGTCTGAATGCGGATCGAAGCATATTATTTTCACTTCTTTTGTTTTTCCTTTCTTGTGGTTTTTCCCTTTTGTTCTGATTCTTCTTTCACAACATGACTAATGTGGAAATATGCTTAACATATATAACCAATATCAGATTGCTTGCCATCTTGGGGAGGGGGAAGGGAAGAGAGGAAGAGAGAAAAATTTAGAACTCAAAATCTTACAAAAATGAGTGTTGAAAACTATCTTTACACGTAATTGGAAAAAAAAATAAAATACTATTAAGTGCAAAAAAAGAACTCTGAGAAAAATTGTCACGTGGTTACCCAACTATAGCCTTGATAGCACCCAAACCCCAGAGTGTCAGAGTGAACTTCATTACACAGACAGCGCAGAAAGAATCCTAAACAAATTTAACCATACAGTTCTTAGTCAAGTGCTTCCAGAGACCTTCCCTCAGGATGCAGTTCATTCATCTGAGTCTGCTGCTCCAATGGTAGAACCCAATTGTGGCCTCTAAGTGATAGCCTCAGCTTCTATTGGCCTCCTCTAGTTTGAATTCCACCCACTCCAGTGTCTTTGCCAAGAAAACCCTAGATGGGGTCACGAAGAGTCGGGTCAACTGAAATGACTGAACAACAACAGCAATGAATTCTAGACTGCTATAGAAAAAAGTCTCATTTCTTATTTGGCTGGTCTTCTGTACTGTAAATATTCCTTCTCTTTTTTTCTTGGATAGCTACTCAGCATCCTTTCTTCCACCAGACTTCTCTCTGCTAGTTGTGCATGATTATGTAGTGAAATGAACACTAGATAGACTTGGAGTTCAAACCACAGAAACTCAATTAATAGAGAAGATCTCAGAAGATCCTATCTAGAGGTCCTAAGAATCCTTCCTATAACATTACTGACAAGCAGCCATCTAGCCACTACTTAAAGACCTCCAAAGATGAGGAACTCACTGTATATTTAGACAGTCCATTCCACTCTTGGTCAGTTCTAATTGTAAAAGAAAGTATTCCTTATAATAAGCTGAAATCTGCCTTTGCAATATACAAATGTATACACATTGGTACTGTTTCTGTCCCCTTGGTATCTAGCAAAGTAAGTTGAGTCTCTCTTTAACATGAAAGCTCTTTTAACAATGATAATAATAATAGCATTTCTATAGTACTTTATGATTTGCAAAGTATTTTACAAATATTATTTCATATTGTCTTCATAACAACTCTGGGAAGTAAATACTATTATTAGTCCCATTTTGCAGATAAGAAAACTAAAGCAGATGGAGGTTAAGTGACTTGTGCATCACACAGCTAGTAAATGCCTGAGACAAGGCCTACATTTTGTCTCC